ATATTTCTGTCTTCGGGGCTGCCATAGGACAGATCCTCATTACGTTTCGTTTGGATTATTGCAGCCACCTCCCACTGTCTTTCAGCCTGTGGTTACTATATATTTCTCTTGTTAATCCAGGGGAGGACCTGGTTTAGGAGTCTGTCAGAATTATTTTTCTTTTTCCATTTAAGCCAGCAAAAATATTAGCTCTTCAGTGAGACTTCTTCTGTCTCCCCAGCCAACATTCACTGCTGTACCCTCTGGGCTTCCATCATAAATTAAAATTCTTTGCAGCCTTCGCACCCACAGTTTGCAGGTGTTCTACAATCTAGTGAGTCCTTCATCACGGTCTGCCTTTTAGCATATATCTCTTTCTCCACCAGATGGCCAGCCCTTTGGGGACACCCCTGGCATCGGACAGAACTTTTTAGTCATAGTAAGAACCCCCCAGGTGTTGGCTTGAGTTGGAGTCATAAGGGTTTCAGAAATATAGGCATAGCCAAATGGCGATCAGACTGGATTGGAAAGGAAAAACTGAAAGCTGGAAAACACACTTCCCAAATTGTCCAGACCTGCCAGGAATTGACTACAGTGGAGGTCACTCTCGCATACACCTGGTTGACATGAAACAACGGCTTCTTACCTTGGCTGCCGCTCAAGCCCCACCCAAGGCAAATTAGATCTCTGAAGTGGGGCTCAAGCATGAGTATTTTTCAAAGCACTTAGGTGATTTCAATGGGCAGCTAATCGAAAACCGCTGGAATAAGGAAAGTAGAACTTGCAGAGACCTCCTTCTTTTATGGAGTTACCCAGAAGTCACTGCAGAGTCCTGCCAAACAAATAGCACATGGAAGAAGGAAGTTAGTGGGGGGTGAGTTGCTGGACAGCACTGACGTGAAAAACATTATGCAGCTTATCTCCTTGCACACCTGGGGCACACTCCATTGTGCTTGTTGGAGCTTTGTGTCAAGCTGAGACAGAAGATAGGGCAGGCCACAGAGTGCTTGTAGGAGAAGCACGACTTCACCTTCAGCTAAATGGAAGAAACCATCTTTGGGCTTGTCAGTCTAGCTATAGTCCTGTGCAGCAAACTCCTCCAGTCAAACCAGCCCACAAAACCAGAACAGAACCGCCATGCAATTGTGCAGTCACACACTCAGTAACACTGAGCATGTCTTATTCCCCCACCGGAGAGTTCTCTTCGAAGGGCTTTCCTCTGGCAGAGCGTCCATTTTTTTTCTGTGGCCAATAAAAATCCCGGGCACTGTTCTTTCTCCTTCGCTCCCTTCTATTGCTTCTGACAGAGTTTGCCAGTTAGCTGAGGTCAGGATTTCCTTTTTACAAACGACCTGCTTTCAGTCAGTGGGGCCAAAGGTTTCCTAAATTACAAACCCTTTCATTTCTTCTGCCACAAGTTATCCTGTCAGTTTGTGTAATTGCACAGAATAGAAATGGAAACATTCTGAGAGACACCGAGAGAAGTGCTTTTACTACCTCTGTCCTTTTGGGTTGTCAAAAAACTATCCTGAATGGGATGGACGGGACAACTCCAGTTGAAGCTTTCATAACTGCGTGTAGTGTGGGTAAGTTCCAGGGTCTGGAAGGAGATTTCTCGCATGTCTTATGTGAACACACAACATCTGTGGCATCACCTCCACATTCTGTTAAGCAAATGGCCTCCTTTATATTCATTTCAATTGGGAAACTTCATATTCAAATACTTATTCTTTAAAATATTTAATTTTTTAAAATTTTATTTAAATCCTAGTTAACATATAGTGTAATAATGGTTTCAGGAGTAGAATTTAGTGCCTCATCACTTACATAGAACACCCAGTGCTCATCCCAACAAGTGCCCTCTTTAAAATTTAAAAGCAAATTTTGTAAGTTACTGCTAAAAGTTGACATTTGTAAATACTGGCAGGCAAACTTTAGGTTTTTGAAGTTTATTTATTTATTTTGAGAGAGAGAGGGCAGGGGAGGGGCAGAGAGAGAGGGAGAGAGAGAGGATTCCACGCAGACTCCACACTGACAGTGAGGCTCAATCCCACCACCATTTATTTGATCATGACCTGAGCTGAAATCAAGAGTTGGGCACTCAACGGACGGAGCCACCCAGGTACCCCTGGAAGACAGATTTTAAATCAACTTCTGAAAGATTGACATGCAAATTGAGGTGCTGAGGTTTTTTTTTTTAAAAGCACTCACTTGGGGCACCTGGGTGGCTCAGTCAGTTAAGCAGCCGACTTCGGCTCAGGTCATGATCTCATGGTTCGTGGGTTCAAGCCCCGCGTCGGGCTCTGTGCTGACTCAGAGCCTGGAGCCTGCTTCGGATTCTGTGTCTCCCTCTCTCTCTCTCTCTCTCTCTGTCCCTCCCCCGCTCATGCTCTGTCTCTCAAATATAAATAAATGTTAAAAAAAATTTTTTAAAAATTCACTCATCATTGGGAAATTGTACTGTGTGGACAGGACACTGAATATGCGTTGAAAACTGACAGGGGCTGCCCATGCTCACCCTGGAATGCAGTGATAGAGCAGGGAGGCAAAGCCAACATTTGTTGCCCTGAGAACTCATGATCTCTCCGTGATTCTGCATTGTATCCAAGGAATCATGATTCTGCCTTATTTGGCTGTGACCTCATGCAAAGCATTTGACCCAAGTTTCCTAATCTCTAAAGGGGGCTCCACTGGGCACGACTTAAACCTAACTTTTGAAGTGTCATGTGGAATCGTTGGCACGGTGAAGAGTTCTGGGCTGCGTGTGTTCATGCAGGAGCCTGACTGAAATTTCTCTTCACATCCCCTTCCTTTTCTTTCTCCTGTGAAGGGGGAGGAGTTAAGTTCATGTAGAATAAAAGCACTAACGCCTGAAGTTTAGTCCGAGATGAAGGACAATTAAATCCCTGACCCTTCCCTCTCCTGGCCACTTCTATTCTCAACAATGCTCAGTCCCATAGTCCCATGGCTTTCCTTTCTTCTCTCTTTCCCTTGCCACATTCCTTCCACTCAAGGCCGCTCTCATATTCTCCCCTTCTCTCTGCTCAGGCCAACTCTAGTCTTCAGGTCTCTGTTTAGACGTCAGTTCCGCAGGAAGCGTTCTGCCTTCCCCAGTGCCTGTAACCAGTCCCACTTCACATGCATCCCTACTGATCATCGAAGCCTGTTTCGTAATTGTAATTGATTCTTGTTAAATCACCATCTGAATGCTTGAGGTCAGGGACTGGGATGGGACTGTCATTTTCATCTTTTTAACTAAGCCAGAATAATGCAGTGCCCTGATAAATGCTCTGTGCAGTCAAGGAGCTGGCTCTGTTTTCCCACTTCTTCTCTTGCGCTTCCAAAGCCCATTCTCCACCCAGCAGCCACAGTGATCATTTCAAAGAGTATATCAGGCTTGGCCACACTCCTGTGTAAAACCCTCAATGGCTTCCCATTCCATTTAGGACATACAAATCCCTTACCACGACTTCGAGGCTTTCCTGGTCTCCCTTCCTTTCCAAAGTCCTCTCTTCTTGGACCCATGGGTGCAATTCTCACCGGCCTCTTCTTGGACCCATGGGCGTGATTCTCCTAGAACACAAGTAGAAGCATTCTTCTCTGAGGACCTTGGCCTGTGTGTTCTGCCCGATCTTCATATGCTGCCTGTATCTTAGCAGTTGGCCTCAGTTCATACAGTATGGTTCTGTCCACCCTGTCCAAAGAAGCTTATGTCCCGTCACTCATATTCCCTGTCTTTTCATCAAGAGTGTTTTTGACTGAATGCATCTTATTCATTAACTCATTCTTGTCTCTTCCCACCTACTCCAATGTAAAACTCCAACTTCAGGAGCAGGGCGCTGCTTCATTAGCACCTAGGACCATGCTCCCCATGGTGGGGGCCCAGAGAATCTTTATTTAAGGGAATAATATGAACTCCAATGAGACTATGGACATTGAGTGGGAGAAATTCAGCAGAGGGAACGAACACTGTGTCCCATGGTGGGAAAGAAGGCTCTGCAACAAAGAAGACACTAAAGCTGGACATGGTGTGGGTGGGTTGAGGTTGGAGGAAGTCATTGACAGAAGTGGGAATGCTCTGAACAAAGATGAGGGAGCGATGCTTTAGGCTGTTTGGCCCATTAAAGAGTCCAGTTCATGCTTACCGAAGGTTTGTTCATAGCGCTAACGAGAGATTATGTTGGGAAGAAAGTAGGTACTATATTTGGAGACTTTGAAATGCCAAATAGAAGCACCTGGGCTCCAATAAATGGTCGAAGGGAAACCCTTTAAACATATTGGTCAGGGGGTGTCATGTTAGAAGCAGTGCTTCAAAAAAAATATCTTTTGAGGATAAACCCTCCATTTTGCCCATTTTCCTTATTTTCTTGAGACTTAAAAATCTCTCCACCCCCCCCCCATTCCTGCCTCTCTTTGAAGACTTACCCCCACCCCAACCTTTTTTATTCTTGGGGTGTCTGAGCATGCTCAAACACTCCATTACTCAAGCCCCTTGGCTGGGTGTGTGCCTGTTAAAAATGGACATCGTGGGCCCGATAATTGAGTCAGCCAACTGCATGTTTGCTTTTTCATGTGTTTGTATGTATGGATGTTGTGTTTCTAAGATTAAATCCCAGGATTTAGAGCTGTCAGCGATCAATCTGGCCAAATTTTAGAGGTGTATGTTGTGGGTGTTCTTTATAGATGAAACCGCTTTCTATTGCTGTCCCCTCGGTGTTTAAGTCGATAAATCGGTGCTCTGCCATCCAAGATGCTTGATGCTGAGTTCTGGTCTATGGTAAAGTTGAGAGTCCAGTTTATATAGTTTTAGAGGACGTATAGAGCTCTTCTGTTCATCTGTTCTTCCAGTGATCAAAGAAACAGCTGTTCCCTTTCTAGTTTAGTCCCCTGAAGGACTGATAAAGCCATTATGACCACCATGGCTTTATCCCACTTCCTTTTGTTAGACCAAAAGCATTCTAATGCAGCCCAGGTCCTGCTGTTTCTTGCAAATGAGCGATAAGAAAATATACTCAAGGAGCTTACAGTACATCACAAATCAATTTTATTAACTTAAACACAAAATTATTGAAGAAAAAGTCTGTACACGATTGTGGACACAACACACCTTTATACAGTAAAGCCAAGATAAACTTTGTCTTTCCAATCTGCAGAGTACAAAAACATAAAATGGAAAGGCTAAAAAATTGTCAACTTCTGTTTGTTGCAAGCAAAAAAGAAAAACCCAAATTCGATTAATTTAAGCAGTTTGGAAAATTCACGAGTGACTAATTCTAGCAGCAGCATGAAACTTCAGAAAAAGATACAGTAGCTCTTTAGCTACTTTGGGTTAAAGCTGGTGTTTTTTTTCCCCCCAATAAAGTTCATCTAAAAAATGTCATAATAATGGAAGTCTTTAGTGCCCAAACTCATCACTGTTGGAGAAACTGTCTTATCACATAACAAAGGTGACAATTTTTATTTCCCAGCTTTATGCTTTATACACACTGTAGGTTAATAATCACCTCCGTGAGGACGATCGGGCCACGTCCACTGCCCGCAATGAACTTTCCAGGGAGGGTGGGGATCGGGGAAAGGTGTGGAGGAAAACAGAAGCAACAATCAAAAAGTTTTGCTCATTTCTAGAGACGTGGTAATGTCCTCCTTTATCTAATCAAGAAGATGCAGACCCTATCGTCTGAGCACACAAAAGTTTGCTAGTCTCCAATTCATGAGCCATCTTATTAATAAAATATATCTATCAATCATCTACATTCTTTCTGTGGGAAGAAGCATTTGTATAATCATTTTTTTTCAAGTAGTTACATATAATACATTAGTGTTGAAAATGAAAAGGTGAGGTGGTAGGAGGAACTTTGTTTTTTATTTTTTGAAATGATTTAAGACACCGCTGTGTTATTTTACCAAGGTCCTCCTAACAGCATTAAAAAAAAATGATGATGGAAAGAACAATTTGGAAAACAAAATCCTATTAACATCCATGCTTTTGGTCTTGACAACATTATCTAAAAAAAAAAAAAAAAATCCATTATCTACATATTTATAACCAGTACGTCGATAAGGCACCGCGCATGACTTTGTGCACATACTGCCTCTTACTTCACGATCAAGGCATCGCTACCTTTCAATATCATTTTCTAAACGATATGTAAAAGAATCATCCATTATTACAAATTTACACCCAAAATTCTCTCTGTACATGATTGTCTCAGTGATGTACATATTACACGTTTAAATTAGACATACTTTAAACTACTTTGCAATGTGCTAAAATTCAAAGTACTTGCTGTGTCGTGAGGCAAAGGCCTTTAATCGCTTGTGTTATATTGTCTCTTCAATTATTTGCTGTCAAAAAAGTCTGGCCGAGTGAACTGGACGGTGCTTGAGTCATACCTCCATAAAGCTGTTGTTTTTTTTTTTAAAGTCTGTTCATAAATAAGTAGAGATGTACAGGTTACCCTGGGTATGAGACACCAAAAAGTAAACTTTCTTTACAAGAAAAATCCCCTCGCCAGTCTTCAGGGAACACATTTCAGTCTTTGTTGTGCAATCAAGTTTGCTGTATCGGAGAAGCTCTTTACGTCACATTGAAGATGCGAAAAACGTAAGCGTTTGCAGGTCCTTTCTTCACAGGTTTGAACCATGTAGTTAATGCGGCAAAGCCGCATTACACTGTACTAGAACATTCTCATGGCTTATTTTCATTGGCTTCACAGTACTAGAGTCAACAGCTGTTCTGAAGAAATAGGTGTGGCCCTTCGTTGACCACAAGGGCAGAGGTGAAGACCGACAGCAGCTGTGCGTCAACGAGTTGCAATCGCGAAGTCGGGTATCCCAGCGCGGACACAGGACACAGGCCTGCTGGGTTTGTTCCTAGTCGCAGGGCAGTTGTGCGGCTTCAAAGTGCTAGGTGGCTGTTACAGGTACTCCAGTTCCAAGGCATGATGTAGGGCCATGAGGTCCGAGTGGCTGGAGATCCTCCAGAAGGGCATGGCGTGCTGTGAAAGGAGCAGACACACAGTGAGGCCAGACAGCGCTCCCAGCAAGAAGCCTTAAAACCTGCTTTGGAAATCCGCTACGATGCTCACCCCCTTTTTGCAGTATTGTGAGAACGGCCAGTTAAGATCTTAACATCACGTCTGTTTAAAACAAAAATCCAAACTTAATCCTCCCCTAAGAATACTGGACTGCACTTTAACATATAATCTGGAGTCTGTTTAAGAAAGGGATGGCTATTTCTTAAGTTGCTCTACACTGTCATTGACTATGAATTCCAAAACACAGTAGCTGTGCGTGAAACTTTGTCAAAAGCAGTCACCTTTCAAAACATGGATCCAGTGGACTTTTTGATGCTGAAAGTTTAAGTTTTCCTTAAGTTGGTAGTATTTTACGTTTTTCAAAACTTGACTGATGGCAGAAGCAACTTTTTTTTTCTTCATTTATTTCCATTAGGCATTCTTTGCACTGACCTTAAAATGGTTTTACCATATGGGAAAACTGTAAACGAACTTTTTTTGGTAGTTGATTTGAAAAAAATCAATCTAAAAATCTAGTTTAAATGAGACTATTTGTAAGACATCTAGTTTAAATGATGAGAATATTTGTAGAAGACCCGAATTAGCCAGAGATGATAAAAAAAAACAGGAAAACAACCGAGGTTACCTCATCCATCAAGGATGAGAACATGATTATAAACTGCCATTGTACAAAAGCTCTATAGTAAGTACCTACACATCAGCAAAATCTCTTTTAAATAAGAGAAAGATAATCATCATTTTTTAGAGGACAATATTCTATTTAGCCTATAGAAAAACAGCTTTTAAAAAACAGCGCGAAGACTGGAGTATAATTTTCAATTACAATTCTAAGGAATTAAAAAAAAATCCGTATCAATTTGCACGGAAGCAAACAGTGGAATTTAAGTTAATTTTTGCATGTGTGTGGGGGGGTATTATGTGTAGGTAAAATGGAAGCAAATAACTATTTTGATGTAGATCATAGAGATGTTGTATTCTGGGAATGGAAACTATTAAGTTACTTATTAACAAGGCCTTTGTCCCAAATAACCGGCTAAAAGCATGTACCACAGTCCAATGTCAAATGGACTCCATATCTTTGTCATCCTTCAATAGCGACAGTCCAGCATTGAGTACTAGAGATCTCTTTTCAAAGTTTTAGGATCTACTTGAAAATTTTTGACTAGAGCGACAGAGTGTGCTACTTTGCATTCATTTATTCCTTTTTTTTGCGTCTGCAGGGATTGTGTAGAAGATGAGCCCGGCAACCCCTGTTTTATAAAAGGACTAGGAAGAGGCCAGTTTCCCTTTGCCTGCAGAGATGGGGAAATACCTGGTAAGAGGAGGTAATCGTTAAGCTAGGTACAAAAGGATGATCATTCAGAAGAGCACTTTCTAGCCGTGTGTGTGTCTGCGTGTGTGTTCGGCGGCAGAGAATGAAGAATTCCATTGTTAGGATACTGGCTGTAAGTGAGAGAAAGACACATTTGGCTGCGGGAGCCACATGCAGCAGGGCTTACAAGGAGGTTGTCGGTAATAATGACAGCTGTAGGGTCAGGCACTCTCCTCAGCACTTCTCATAGCCTCGCGGATTCAAACCTCTCTCTAACCTCAGGGATAGATCGGTATTACCATCACTATTGCACTGATGACAAAACAGACTCGGAGGAGGAACAGAGAGGTTTAAGTAACAGCTGGCAAGGATCGAACGCGCAATTCACACCAGGTCAGCCCTGAATCTGAAGCCCAGATGCTGAAATGCCTCCTAACTGTTCTCGATGGCATTTTAATCCAGCAGTGTAAATTATCAGCCCCACAGTATACAGCTGAACACACACACACACACACTCCCTTCCAAGTTCTGAGTGAGCGACACTGAAAAATTTGAGTGACTATGATATACACATCAGATTTGAAAACTGATCAGTTACAACACAGAAAGCTGTCCTTCTTTTTCTCTCATTGGAATAAAAATTCATGTGTACTGTAAAACATGTGTAAAATGTAGAGCTTTCATTTTATAGAGAAATACAAATCATTTCTAATGCTATCCAGATAGCCCCCACAAACATGTTTCTGTATTTTATATATGTGCAGACTCCTATTTGAAATTGTGTATATATAATATGTGCCGCTCTGCATCCTACTCATTTTACTACTTAATATCAAGTCCATTTTTGACACATCATTTTGAAGGGAAATCCTCCACTACATCAAAAGTTTTCAAGTATTCTTACAGATTTAACCGTTTACTTGGCATCTATTGTCATATCCTCGTGTATTTTTGTTACTTTCTTTCTGGTCTTATTTTCTCTAATTTGCCAGAGATCAGGTGCCCCTCCCCAAAGCTGCTTCTCACGAACAAGTGAATAAAGGAAGCTATAGAGTAGTTCTATTGCTCTCACAGAATATGCTTTCAGGATGTAGCAGAGAATGCCGAAGGCTCTTCAGATAGCCATCCAGAAGCTTTCAGGACAACTACCTTCGTAAATACATATAAAAGTCCTTCTATAAGAAATGGAATGCTTTTTTTTTTCAAAGTAAGTTCAGTCAAATTCTTTTACATGTTGATTATCTGAAATTAGATATGTTTCCCCTAGACAACAAAACACATCACAGTACGCACTGTAGAATGCAATGCGTGGCAGAGAAATTGAAAAGGGAACTGAAAAAAATCCAGCTAATCCTTTGGTACACGCTTAAGATATAAATTAGGCATTTAATTCCACAGTAAACAAAGTAAAAAAATGGTTATACGTCTTATCTTTACAGGTGTAGGAGATGATGCCAGTCTAGAGTACATTTACTTTAACCTGTTCTAAACCATTCTTAAAACAAGTTTCGGAAAGGTGAGGTTATTCACAAAGAGCCCTGGGTTGGCTTGTTTACTGCCAATGAAATACTAATGGCTTTTTTGTACTCTTCCTGTACAAGAGTATCAATAAGAACCACATATCAAGTAGCACCCTGAAACAAATTCAAAAGATGGAATATGCCTGTGGTATATTACGGACACAACGCATCACGATACAGTGACGATGGGGTCATCGATTTGAGTAAAAATGCAAAAGGTTTTACAGTGATAACTGGCAACCCTTAGGTGTACCTGAAAGGGAACAGGTGATCTCTGGGACCCCCACACAAGGACTGCAACTCCACCCTCAGGACTAATTCAGAACATGAAGGTAATGATCTTTGTTATAATCAGCAGTCCTAGTCTCACAAAAATTACAGGGCTTCTACTTTAAGAAATGTGTATTTAACATTGAGTGATTATAAGACTGAATCTAGGGAGAGGACAGGAAACTCAAACTCCTCTTAACAAATAATGAGAATGTCGCAAAATAATATTTTCCCTAACTAGCCACATACTCATGTAAAGATTTTATGAATGTACAAGAGCTTCCCAGCACAAGTGGGTGCAAAGACAACCATTTTTTCCCTTCATCAGTAGTAAGCCTGAAACATGTTTCTTCTAAAAAAAAAAAAAAAATCAGGTGCCAGAATGAGGAGACCTGGGTTATATTCTCAACTCTGACATTAGGTGTGTGACTTTGAATTATGACATAGTTTTCTGGACTCTGTTTATTAAACCTAGAAGCACTCTTGAGTCATTTCCCCTAAACCTTCATTTTATAGATAAAGTCTATGACTTTAGTATTGTAGCTACAGCAGATGTATAAAATACTATGCATGGCCTATGTCCCCCATTGACAAGAATCAGTAGGAAAGAAATAAAAGGCCCAGAATTGACAATGAAGAAGTAAAACTATTTGCAGATGACATGATTTTAAAGACTCCACACACAAAAAAGTGTTAGATCTGTTGCAGGATACAAAATTAACATACAAAACCAATAGTGTTTCTATGCATTAAAAATGAATTATCCATACAAAATAAAATTATTCCATTTACAATAGTACCAAGACCAATAAAATACTTAAAAATTAATTTAATCAAGGAAAATAACTACATTAAAAACGTGTAAGACATTAATGAAAGAACTTGGAAGACATATACAAATGGGAAGGTATCTCATGTTCATGGAAGAATTAATATTGCTTCAATGTCCATGTGATCCCAAACCAACTACACATTCAATGCAAAACCCATCCAGATTCCAATGGCAGTTTTTAGAGAAGTAGAAAAAACAAACCTGAAATTTATATGGAACTACGAATAACCCCAACTGGCCCCAAAAATCCTAAGAAAAATGGGAAGCATCACACTTCCTGATTTCAAGCTATATTATAAAGCTCTTGTAATATAAATAGTATAGTACTGACATAAAAACAGACACATAGATCAATGAAATAGAATCAACAGCCCAGAAATTAACCATGTATATATATGGTCACATAACATTTAACAATGGAGCCAAGAACACTCAATGGAGAAAAGGTAGTCTCTTTAATAATTGGTGCTGGGAAAATTGGCTTCAGACATGTAAGCCAATAAAACTAGCCCCCTATCTTATGCCATTCACAACTATTAACTCAAAATGGATTAAAGACTTAAATATAAGACCAGAAACCAGAAAAATGCTAGAAGAAAACAGAAAAAAAGCTCCTTGACATGGACCTTGGCAATGATTATTTTTGGATCCCTAAAGCACAAACAAGTGGATGACATTGGACTAAACTTCTGCACAGCACTAACATGAAAAAAACAATCTAGGGGTGCCTGAGTGGCTCAGTCGGTTAAGCATCTGACTTCAGCTCAGGTCATGGTCTCACGGTTTGTGATTTCAAGCCCTGCATCGGGCTCTGTGCTGACAGCTCAGAGTCTGGAGTCCGCTTCAGATTCTGTGTCACTCTCTCTCTCTGCCCCTCTCTCAAAATTAAATAAACATTTTTAAAAAATTAAAAGTCTAAAGAATGGGAAAAAATATTTGTAAGCCACATATTAGGTAAGGGATTAATATTCAAAATATATAATAAATTCATACAAATCAGTAGCAAACAATAAATAGGTATTTTTCC